TTATTTTTTACTAAAATGTCTGGCCTTGCAAACGAGTGTGGTTAATGTGATTCATTAATAAAACAAGGAAAAAAGTAAAAATGAATGTTATTTAAACTAATAAATAATAAAATATTATAATTGATTGTATGTATATTGTGTATAGATTTTAGATACATAAAAAAAATGTACATTTATAAATTTTAAATGCCATGATAGCAATCCATGTTTTTTTTTTTTTTTTTGAATAAGCAGAACAAACTCATCTGTATTAAAAAAAAAAAAAAAAAAAAAGATATTATTTTTATAATTATGTTTATGTAAAGTATCAGTATTACAACTATAGCTAATTTATTTCTTTCGGTTGAAATTCTTAGTAATACAGAAACCAAAATTTATTCAAAAAAAATAAAATGTAATTTAATATTTTATACTTATATATTAAAATTAACAATTTCAGTTGAAAAAAGTTATTAATCATTTTTAATATTAAATTAGCGACTATAATATTGTTATAATGTAAATAGCAGATTAATACAAATTAAGATATCATCAACATAATTGAAATTTATCCTTAGTTTAAACGAATTTAAATTTAAAGTTGTAAAGTTTCACATACAAACTTTAACAGTATAATGTTAGAATTTCCAATAATTATGAGTTGGTTCAAATAATTTTATTTGATTTTATTTATCAATTCAAATTAATTAATAAGTAAGTTTATGTAGTTTTACTTATTATAAAAAAATTAATATATGATTTCAAACAATTCATGAATAAAATTCAAATATTAAATGTTTCTAATAACTACAGTCAAGCGATAATATTCTAACAAATAGAAGAAAAATATTCAAAAATAACTGCTTAAACATCAAAAATAAATTTATGAATGTAATACAACTACTAATATATATATTAATATATATATATATATATATTATTGGATGGTAATTTTATTAAAATAAATAATACGTTTACACGTTGTATAGAATTAATTAATAACAAAAAAAAACTTAAATAATATTTTTTTAAATAATTTATTAGAAATGTTATTTTTATTTAACGATGATTTGATTTCTTCTTTATTAGTTTCCAATTCAAAAATGGATTATAAAGTAGAATTATGGTATTTTATTTTATTTTACCCATTCTCAAGAGAATGCCACACAATTCCTCAGTTGCACACACACTTACATAATTACACACCCACTTTTTAAGGTGCTTAACGTAGTAAACTCTAATGGAATGTTAAGAAAAGTTAAAATTTAAAATCTTAAATATACTATTTCAAAGTAAGTTAAAATCCAGTATACTTTCAATGTAACATTGTTAGTTGTTGCTTAGTTACGAGATAATTATTACATAAAAAAAAAGTTTCACTCGTAAAACAACCACTTAAGCTATAGTAATAGTTTAGAAGTCAAATATATACTGAATAAAAAAGAAAATATTTTCTATATTTTACTCATATTATTAATTTTTTTTTTTTTTTATTACTTATTTTGTATCATTAATACAAAAAATAGTTATTATAGTTTTAAAATCTGGTAGTTTAATATCTTTAAAACTTAAATAACATTATTTTTCAAGAAGTTAAAAAAAACAAAATGATACTGAAGATATTATTTAGTGGATCTTTTTCACACAGATCAATTTATAGGCGTGTGACGTCATATGAATTTAAATTTAGTTAGTTTTTTTTTAAATTTATTTTTATTTTAGATTTTAAGCAATGCAATGGGTTTATTGATTTTAAGATCATATATGTAAGTGTACGTGCGTGAATGTGTATTTTTTGGGTCTATCATCACCTTTCGGAACAATAAAAATATTTCGTTTATTGAATTTGAGTGTGGTTTTTGGTAGCAAATTAGATTTATTTGGTACTTTGAGAGATTGAAACTCATAGTATTTTTCAAAATGTTCATGGCTTATATGTGGAATATTTTTTTTGAAAATATGGTAACTCTTTTTTAGCTATTTGCAGATATTTGACATTTTCAATTTTTTTTCGTGTTTACTATAACTATCGATAGAACATATTTTCTTACATTGTCATAAAGCTTTGAAATTGTATACAATATTTACCATAACTCATAGGTAGATACTACATAATACCCATAATACTGAAACCGAATGGTCCAAAACAATTATAAAAATATAATTACTTTTTACAGAAATTTGAAGTTCAAATTTTACTGCAAAAATTCTTCCAACCTACTGGATGACAATTATAGTAAAATTGATTATCTACTTTTATATAGCAATACACATTTATTATTACATTCACTTATAAATATAGTCTAAATGAACCGTTTTTATTTTTATTTTGTGATAATTTTTCTTTGAATTCAAATTTAACACTTATAAATTACAGCGACTTACTCATTTTGTCATATTTTTATCAAATATTTTTCTTTAAGCTATTGTTTAAAAAGTGTTATTATATCCCTTATAAATACTTATAAATAAGACAGATACTTAATAATAGATAAAATGGATCATCTCATTTTTGTAACTTAATTTGAACTTGTTTAAATTAACAAACTTAAATTATGATTCACGAATTTCAACGCCTTTAAATTATACCTAATATTCAAGGTATGTTCATTATCAAATAGAGCAGTGTTTCTCAACCGGTGTTCTGCGACCGTGGTACATGTGTATAGTATTATTAGGTATTAATTTTTAATCATATAATATATTAATAATAAAAAACAATAATTAAAATAAAAATGCCTCTTTTTGTTTGCTTTTTATTATTTCATTACTATAGTGTTCCGTCAAACTGTGTAGTTATGATAAATGTGCCGTGAACATGAAAAGGTTAAGAACCACTGAAATAGAGTATGAATTATTTTTACAATTAATATATTAAATACAATGATATACTTATAGTGTTATAAGGACTATAAGAAATTCAGAAGTTTACGACTTATCAAACATTGATGGATATTAATTTAAAGTAAAATATTTCTACAGTGATACCCATTTTATACTTAATTTTAAATCCAAGAGTATAAATCGTTTGATTTACTTCGTACACACTAAATACTAGTAATGGCCCGCGGGGAAGAAAAATGACAGATTTTGGCAATTGCTTCTTAGCAGGCTAGCGTGTGCGCTCCTCGGATTTTATCTGCAGCCAATAAACTACTTATCTTACGTCGAAGATTACGAAAAATTGTATACAATGTGATACATTTATGCGTCTACACTCCTTAATTTGAAAACTTTCAATTTTCAAAAAAAGTGTTTGTTTTGAAAAACAATCTAAAAAAACTCTATCATTAGTATTTTTTTTAATTTTCACTTTTTTTACGTACAAAATGTGTTTATAAATTTACATTCCATATTTTTGGAGTATTTGATTCATCGATACAACGTTTTTAACCAGTTCGTTAATTTTTTATAAGAATATATTATTTTTTTTTGATATGTAGATTAGAATAAGAAAGTAAGAAAGTAATCTTCTATTTCGCTTATGAACTAATATTAATTATTCGCTATTAATAATCATATAACCATATTTTTTACACCAAAGTACTCTGAAAATATTCTTTGTAGAAATTAAATGAAAATCTATATACTTATTCAAAAAATTTAAAATAAAATCAAAATAATGAAAAATATAATTTTTTAGCTATGTGGTTTTATATTAACTTAAAGTTATGTTAAAAAAAAAAAAAAATACTTTAAAATACTCAATTTTGTTTAATAATAAAATTACATTTTAAGATTCACCCTGTAAATACTATATGGGTAAGTACTTATGAAACGCTGCAGAGAAACGAAAACCAAATAAACTAAATATATGTACTACCCGGAAAATACCGCCAATCTACTCACTCTTATTTCCTGCTCAGATCTCGTTACATTTTTGGGGAGAATCATTATCCGTGAAAAGTTATAAAATAAATTTTTAAAGTTTTGTTTGTTTCAATTTGTACCACCCCATATTGGTTTTTATTAAAATCCAGGAACTGCAGAAAAAAGTGATCAAAATATTTGATAAATCAAATCGACAATATTAATATTCAGATATGCGTACTATGCTGTATAATATTATAATTATTTATACTATATACTTGATTTGAACATGATATTATTGTATTGTATTAAAAGCATTTACAATTATTTTAAAATATTTTAGATATTTTAAGCTTTATAATTTACTCATACCTACCAACAAATTCTATCTTAAATTTTTAACTCAGTAACATATCGAATAACACATATTTTTTAATTATACACATTATTTAATAGATTTTTTTTAGATTTTAATAGCAAATAAAAATTCTTTTTTCATTCAAATTTAATTTTCAATTTATTCAATTATTTTTGTTTTACTATAAGTATATAATTACATACAACTGAGCATTGAGTGTATGAAAAATTTACTTTATCATATTTTATTTAATAATAAAATACTATTTAAGTTCCTGTTTTTTTTTTTTTTTTTTGTATTTTAATTTTCATTTAATTTAAGAATATTTAATAAAATACAAGTCGTTAGTCGTAATATTTTAAGTCTATTTTACATCGTCTACAACATTATATTTTTCTTTGTATTCTGTCAAATGTATGAACTTAAGTTAAATCTATTTAAATTTTCTTAACAATTGCATTAATATTTAATCTGAAAATTATACTGTCAAAAGAATTCTTTTGTATAATCAAATTATAATAAAATGTATTTACAGATGAATTAAATCATAACATTTTAATTTAAATTCAGTTTAATTTTTATATTAAACAGCCAATTATTTAAAAGATTATTATTTTGTTTTAAGTTTTTACTTAACAAATCCAATCAATAATTGTGCTGTGATATATAGAAAAAAATATACATATTACCATAGGTATTATTAGTTTTAAAATAATTTACTTTTTCAGCATATAAAAAAATGTGTACCTATGCGATCTACCGTTATTAGCTAATAATAAACACATTATTTTCTCACTGAATGAGCCGTTTCTTTTGTATCATAGCACACCGCATTAATATAAAGATGAATTACCTGCTGAATAGCTCAATGTTGAAAAACACGTATTCTCCACTATCAATCATGTTGAGTTCTTCAGCGGCCAACAGTATTTCCCTGACTGTTAACGGATTGGCACACACCACCATAACTGAAACAGAAAGGAGTTTTGAAAATTCAAACCATGATTGAAAATCCGCTTCCGGATTGTATCTGCACAATGAAATGCTGTTACTGCTGTCAAATAGAGTAGGTTATTCATTATTATTGAAAAGAGTAGATATTTTTTATTCTGCTGGTTGGTTTATTTACTAAATTATACGCGTTTAAAATGCAATAAAACTATACGGAACATATAAATACCTATGTAATATAATATATTTTATTTTTATTCGATAGCGGAACTAGATTTCCCAAAACTGACAAATAAAACTTCCAGAGCTCCATTAAGATATTTATAAAGAAATATATTTTTAACACCATCATTTTTAAAATATCTATAATAAAAAGTATGTCGCACGTTATAAATTCTAATAAATAACCAATGTTATAGAATAGATATGCCATTTATGTATCTGATAATTACACACAAACGACATTTTTTACTAATTTTAATTCTCTATAAATCATGCAAGAAACATTTTCATCCGTCGTAAATTTACAAAAATTATTTTCATGAGTTATAAGAAAAATTATAATAAGATATCTTTTTTATTTTTAAGAACTATCAACACCTTCAAATATATATACAGATTCACATAATTATGATGAGTACTTAACAAGAATAATTAATAATATTTTAAAATCAACAAAAAAATTAATAAATAAATAAAATTTAACTTAATTAATTTACTAGGAATGATATATAATAATATTATACATCATAAAAAAAAAAAATCGTAAGTATTGAAAAAATAATAATATGAATATGAATATATATTACATACTAAAAATAATAGTATTTAAATAAAAATTTAATTGTTTTTGAAATTTTAAAGCATAACACACAAAACTATGAAAAAGAAGCCATTACTTGTCAAAAAGAGCGGTAGATTAAGGATAAAAACGCATCGCTATAAAACGGTCATGTACAAACGGCACGTGCGTCCATTGCTAGTTGATTTAAACTGTGATATCATACACATACTAATAAAAACAAGAGATAAAACAAATGATGGAGAATTATTCCTGTCATTAATTTAAATTTTTATTTTAAATCAGAGCCTATACCTTATTTCCTTCTAAATGTCTTTTTCATTGTAATTTTGTAGATAAGTAGTCAAACTAAATATTTGAAAAAAATTTGTGTCACATATTGGCACGTTTATTTTGAATAATAATTGTATACATGAACATTAAATAATACAATCTTTTTTTTTTTTTTTTTTTTAATGTAATATTAAAGAACAAAAATAACCATTACCAAATTGATTATTTATTATTATTTGAAAAAAAAAATTCACAAGATGCATGTTAAGATAAATTGTGTTTCATAATAATATGTTGTATAATGTGAAATAATTACTGCCTTATAAAATTCTTATAAAAAAGTTGAATAATGTAAAAATATTCATGATATAGCACTCTTTAACTTATAGTTTCTACTCGAGTCTCGCAAAACTACAAAAGCATTTATTATATTTATGATTTGATAACTAAACACACAATAGTAGTTATTTGTTAGCAATCTAAAGAAATAAACCAAAACTATATGTGTTCCGACTATAAAAGAAAAAAGTAATGAATAACATTAATTTATTATAATTGTGACTATGTATGAATTATTATAATATAATATATTAACCTAACCTGATATTGCAATAGAATCATATAGTTAAAACATAAATAATATATATAAAATAGATAAGAACGGCTCCAATCTAAATCGTTTTTCATATACAATTCCATTAAAGTGATCGAGTCAACTCAAACCACCTTTTTCATAGTTTAATGTAGTAAAAATAAAGCATGATAAAAAAAATAAATGTTTTAGCGATCACTCATTTGATTCTTCAAAACATCTGAGACCTTAAGAGAGTTTCACGTGTACGTAAAATCAGAGTTCCACCACAGCATCAGATAAACTACTTATATTGAGTATAAGACCAAAAAAATCAAAAACGGATAGAATTTTTTACATCGTTAACATATTATAATGTATATTTTATTTATTATATTTTTATTTCAATTAATACAATAATGATTGCATGTGAAACATTCCAACTCGTTACTAATAAATATGACTGCAGTTTCGTCAGACTCTGTCTTTAAAAACCATGGTTAAATACTCGTATTATTACTTCTTGAGTTGACAGGTAGATATATTGCAGAAAGAATTTAACTCATCGTTCACGTCCAAATACTTAGTACATAGATACTGTTTTACAAGGTTTTTCTGACAAAGTCATAGATATTTATAAGTACTATATAACAAAAAATGTACGATCTCCCATCCCATAAGTGATTCTTAAAAGTTTTTAAGTTTACATTGTAGAGTCAACATATTTTAAATCTATATACACAGAATAGAAGATAAAAGATCATTTTTTTTATCGAATTTAATATAACAGATGGATGAGTTTTTACACCGATTTTGATTCAAAACCTTTTGTAGATTATTCAATAAATTATTATGAAAACAAACACTTTAAAGTCGTTTTTTTTTTTTTCAAATAAAACATTTTATGATTGGAAATCTATACTTTTTCTAAATCGTAATTTGTAATCAATTTTTGAAAAACAAACATTTGTATTTAACTTAGTTTTATGTTTCTGTAAACATTACTTTAATTTAATTAAGCTTAAATCGATATGGCCAAGCAAATTAATGTTTTTAATTGAATTTCTTAAAAAATAAATAAATAAGTTTTCTTTTATCAAAGTAAAAACATTAAATTAAACAACTAATTTATAAATTTAAGTTTTTACTCAAAGTTTTTCAAAAGTAACCTTTTAAACATTTAAGGTATGCAAATACAGTTCAATTTATGATAATCGTAGTTTAATCATAAAATTTAATTTCTTAGTTATTAATATTAAAATAACAATGCATTTAAATATTCCGGATAAAATATGCTGGACAAGATCGACTGTACAATTCTAACTAGTGTTATACTCATGTCAATCAAGTTTTTGAATATTAAGTGCAAATTTAGTTCTTCGAACGTGAAATTAACGATATAAAATCGAAGTGAAAATAAAATATACAGCTAAGCAACTTACCAATCAACCCATCACGAGTATAATAATTCACTAGATTACTAGAAGAAACTTTATGGCACTAATCTAACCGGCGTGTTAATTGAGTTTGACCTTAACCGCTTTAAATTAGTAGGTAAATCATCGGGAGGGGGAAATGTGGTATTCATATTTTTTTTTAATTGACCCTTTATACAATATTGTTTAAACATAGTCAGTAAAGTCTGTTTACGACAATATAACAGTTACTTAGCTAAGTGTTCCTGACAGGAGCAACCGGACTATAATGAACTAATTCGTCAACCCTTACCTCGTTTACTGGGCAGAATTCACTTCAAATTAAGCAACCCATAACCAATTAACAGCCACAGTCATAACATTATATATGTATACAACGAAATTATTGTTTTCGCACGTCATAATAATAGTTTATAATATAAGCAACCAACCAAATTACCGAAAATTGCACTCTTAGTTGAATAAATCTTAAGAAATTGACAATAAGGACGAGTATTAAGTACAATAACGGTTTTTGTTGTCTAATTTCAAAATAAAAAAATAAAGACGAAACGAAACAAAACGCAACGCACATTTTATTGCGAGGACATTAACTAGTCTCGAAATTATCGTTTATCGTTCAACCATCTAATTCAATTAAACATAATGATTATATATAAATAAATTACGATATGTGATCGTTACAGTCATTATTATAGTGTGTGGATCTTCAAATGGTGTACACTTAACCCTCGTCCTCCGTGATGCACAAAACAATTCAGACGTTTGGAACACACTCACTTAAATACTCACGCAAGTAATCATAGGGACATGAGTTAGACAACTTGAACGACAAACGACTTTAATAATGTATATTTACTTGCCGTATATTTTATGTATTCAAACTGTTGAAATCCAACTTAGATTAATGTAGGTTTACTTATTACTGCACCATCTCAACTTTGTTGATACATTTAAACGAAATGTATACATTTAAGTTAGCACAAACATATTATATAAATTATAAGAAAACAAAAATAAATAAATACGATTTCTGCAACATTTAACAAACGTATTTACAAAAATAAAACGCTCTCAACCGTATTTTAACTATTTATTATTATCATAATACTCTACTATAGTGTTTACTCTGAGATAGTAAAAATTCTCAGTTTGTTGAGTATGTAGAACTTAGTTATACTAATGCGTCACTAAAATTGCGTATATTACATAATGCATACTTGTACCTAATAATATCAGTTGTTTAAACAGTTTTAAATCGTAAACATATACACCAGGTATATCCTCTATTTATTTATACATTTTGAGAGAATTATCTCAACTTCCACTTAATCCCAGTATTCACAATTAAGTTAAATATTTCAAATTGTATTCATAAATATAAAACTGACTTATAATGCTTAATCGTCAACCTATCAATTATATTCTAGTATAACTTTATTAAAACATTTTAAAATTGAAAAAAATAAATATTTAATATCTACCGTTTGAGATGCTTATAAAAGGGGACTTCGAAAAATAGTGGAATCTAATTTTTAGTCACGTGCTGGCTATATATTCGTTGAAATAAAATTTAACTCAATTCTTAAAGACGTATTAAGTAGTATTATGTACACGGTATACCCACCCAATAATAAATATTAAAAAGACTTGTAATCCGTACATATTCCATACATACTCATTATTATATTATTGTTTATTGAAATAATATGGTTATATAGTTACATTATTAGAATAAATAAACAAAGGGCTTAATGTATTATGTACTACCTCCTCATTAATGTTCAATAACAGTTTCACGTTGAAAACTAAACACAACGAAAACTTAAATACAATATAATATTACCTTTATAAGCCGACCTCACAAAGTACAACAAATATCAACAAGGTATTAAATTATTTTATATACGTTCAAAACACTGTTAAGTGTTGACA